TTGTGCTCAAACCCTCCCTGCATAAAAACTGTATTTGGGATTCTGAGCAAGTTGGGCGGCGCCTGGTTGGGCATCTTTGGCAATACAGGCGTTTCTTTGATGGAGCTGCCAAGACGTTGGGGCCCAATGGATATTACTCAGGTGGTAGAGATACAGTTACATGTCGGACTTTGCCAGTTGACAACCGATATTTCTCTAGCGGTCCTTTAGCCGCGCTTGTTCAAGCACGATGGCATCCTGGCTCATATACGAACACCCATTTACTGCTTTTAACAGCAGAAAATACTATGAGATTGTATGATGTTGATTCGACGGGTGTAAATCTGTTACAGATTTGGCAGATAGGAACTATACCTACAGCCATTCCACCTACATCATCAAAGTTACCATATCTTACAAGCTTAGGAGATACGGCAGTAGACTTTGATTTTCTTCCGCCAGAAGTTAGATTTGATGATACAACTGTACGCAATTCTACAATATTTACAAATTACACAATATCACCAAATTATAGTCTCCCGAACGCACCTGTAGATAAATCTGTATCAAGTCATGTTCTGGAAAATGGTTCGAATACATCTTTATCCGGAGATCGAAAATTAGTTTATTGGCCAGTAGCTGTATTAAATGGCTGTGGAGACGTCTTCATGGTATCTGGATGTTTTGGTTCACAAAAGACTGAAATATCAAAACCATTTTCTATGATGCCGGAAACACCAGATAATTATGGGCTGGATTGCTGTGCTCTCCTGGTTTTACAAAGTGTACCACCAACATTGGTTATTGCGTCAAGTAAAGGAGTTTTGCATCATTGCGTTCTAATGTCGACTGAACTAGATGATGATAGATCATTTGTTGAAGCTGAGCATAAACTGTATGTTCTGGAGAGCGTTGAACTTCAATTAGGCTTGAATTTAAAATCATCAGTTGCTGAAGAACCATTCGATTGTTGCCCCTTGAGACTGCATCGAGATGATATTGAACCAGCAAGATATTTAGTCTATCATAATGCTGGAGTACATGCAGTTATCGTTCCTGCTGTTGAGCAGTTACAACAATTTTTAGAACTCGATGAAGCACTTGATCCAGAACTAAATCCTCCAGCTTTAAACATTCCGTGCGTTGCCGAATATTTACTATGCACAAATATTTCAAGATGTTCTAAGACGTTGCCAAAAAAATCTGGTCATTATACTGGAGTATTGGGGCTTACAATATTTGAATGTCCTCCAACTTTAATTACATTGTTAGCGAATGGTCAAGTTATCAGTTTACCTCTCTCTTCCGTGCCATTTGGATACTCACAACCTAAAACACCTTCAACTAGTTCAAGAAAAGATATGCCCTCACCATTGAAGAATATATTAAAAGAACCATTTGATCAGCATATAGCTTGCATATTGAAACCCAAAATGACACAGCCAATTATGAAGTTGGGAGACAACGTCAGTGCAAAACAGAGATATGAAGTTGCAACAAGAGCATTGAAAATTCTTCGTGAAGAGTATTTTACAAAGCTTACCGAGGCACGGCAAGAGATTGAGAAGAGAATTCATGCCTTGAATTTGTTAAAAAACCAGCAGTTACAAGAAATAAAAAGGTTGACAGAGGAAAAAGTTGAAATTAAAAATAGAGCTGAAAAAATAGCTGAGAAGTGTGAAGATGTTCATAATAAACAAGAGAGCTTAACTGAACGTGTTCAAATGATTTTACGACTAGCAAGCCGACGTATACCAAATATTACTCATTCAGAACGAGAATTTTTCGATAAATTGAAGAAAATAAAAATAGAAGCGAATTATAATAAAGCACAGATAATTTTGGCAAGAAAAAATATTGAGAAACAAAAACGTATGATACAGCAATATGAGAGTCAAGACCAGAAGAAAGACGTTTACTTAAGCGAAAATAGAATAGAAGCAATCAAACTTAATCTTCAGGAAAGGACTGCGCAGATAACTCAACTAGTGGAAGATATTCATATTATCAATAATCATTTAGATTTAAACTAGTTAATCTAGTGTTTCAATTTATGGAATGGCATAGTACAATTGATTTTAAATATTTTTAGTTTTAATTATGGAAATATACTTCAATTTAATTTTTATTGACCTATGCCATTTTCTCGTTTTGTTTTATTTGAAAATAGTTTTAATTGACATAATTTTTTTGTACAAATTCCTTATTTTATTCATGTGTTCAATAAAGAAGTATAAAGAACTATTTTTTTATTAACATTTTATGCATAAAAAACATTATGAACTACAAATTTTAAATAATCTAGTGCATTGTGTGTCGATAGTAAACTTGCATTTAATAATGATTGATATATCGATTCTTTGAATGTACCAGTCTCCTAGGTCTGATATCAATTTCTTTATATTTTTGTCATGTTTGCTTAATAGGGTAATCATTTACAACAATTTTCTAATCACGGAGATTAGAGGAACCTAATAATTATATGATAGTTTTTTCTGAGCTCTAATACTAAATTATTTTTCAATAAATAATGCCGTGGGAAAACGATTTAGATAATTCGTTTCTGATATAATTATATTACTATTTTTAGGGTGCATGACGTTTATACAAATCGAGTCTTGCTCGTGTTGAAATCTATGCAAGATGTTGCACTTCATGCTTTGCCAGGTACTAAATAAATATAGCAAACATAAAAACAAAAACAAAAAATATATTTTTTTATTCAGATGACGAACCGTGGACTGTGGAACAATTTTTAGAGAAAACTGATGAAACATGCAGGTATACTTGCAAATTACTAGGTCTACTTTTTATCATTTCATGGTATTGATTTTCTTTATAAACTAAAACAATCAAATAATATTTGAATTGTTTTTTAGATCAGCTGCAGTAGAATTAAATCGTAAAAGTATTCTAGTAGAAGAAGCCATAGAAGAAGTGCTCGAGCTAGTAAAAAAAGCAGCCAAAGATTTTAGGGGTGCCGATACTGAGGATTTAGCTTTCTTAACACAGGAAGGTGAATAATCATGATGTAATTTTAATGTTTTGAGTTGAATGAGATTGATTTTGTATTCTGCTTTATGCTTACTACAAATTACTTAAATACATTTTAGGTACATACAGAATTATTTTAAATAATTAAATCAAAGTTATTATTAGCATTAAAATATATTTAAGAATAATTATTTTTATGTGTAGCATATTAATACATATACTGCAAATAAAATTACAGATATAGCCAGTGAAGTTGCAATATATGTTGTGGATGACTCAGATTTTTCACAATTTATTTCTGTCTTAATTCAGTTATTAATTTAGGACTAAACGATTTTGATACTTGCCAACATTATCATTTATGTTATGATTGATATTAGCGACTGCCGGAAATTCAAGTACAAACGCTAGCCCAGGACCGACTGTGAGTCCTGGATCCGATGGCGGTGCTGGTGGTGCCCAGCAGTCTGGTGCAGCAGGTGCTCAGCCTCAAGATTGGAGTGCTATTTGGGCATGCTTTGAAGAACCATATGGCCTTCTTGCCCCGGGTGCGGGACTCAATAAAGGAATGCAGGTATATTAACAATTTTCTTCAGTATTAGATAACTTCTGCCGATAATAAGTGCTTTCGAGAGTTGCTTTCTACTAGATTTTGAATTTAAAATCTTTTGCTATTTTACATAATTAAATTAATTAATCCTGAATGTTAATGGGATTTTTTATATATAATCTCGTTATATTGGTAAAGAAAAAACTCATGTTTTTTTGAAAAAATAAGTATAATTCGAATAATTCGAAAATTAGGCAGTTATCATATGAGAAAATAATATAAAATCTCAGTTAATGTAATAAAAGAAACTGAGAACATACTAAATAATTCACTAATTAATATATAAAATTTTAATTTATAGAAATTACAAAAAAGATGATTTAGCAAATACTGCATAATTGCCAAGACCTTGTTGTTTGCAAACATTTGTTAATTTTTAATTACACTTTAAAAACATATCAGGTAGAATTATTATTTGTAGTTGTGATAAAATGAACAAATTTTACGATTAATCCTGATTTATAAAGGAAATGGTTCGCAATGCTGTCGGTGAAATGCGCCGGTATTACAGTAGAAAAGTGGTTGATGCATTAATTAAAGTTACCAGACAAAGCTTGGATGCTATTAGGAAGAGATTTACTGAAGAACAAGATCCTGGTAAGAAAAACATCTTGTTATTAAATAGAGTAATTAAACTTTTTAGGTATAAAAAATAATTTTAGTTTATAATTTGCGATAAATTACTATTTTGTTATTGAATAATAAATTATCTTGCTTTTTCCTTAAACAATAGTTAACTTAAACGCGCTTATTTTTTATGATTATGATGAAACTTTGATAAAATTGTATTAAAAATTATCATGTAAACTTTTTATATTATATTTTTATTTTATTTTATCCAATTTAGGTCAACCCCAAAAGCCGGTATTTTTACTTCAAGCTCATTTAGTAATTCCGACAGTCCAAATCAGGCCAAATGTTGACCAAGTACAAGAAGCTTTAAATACGGCAGGTGAGATACTAGTGTACATTGTTTTAGTTTTATGAGTAATTAAGTTAATTTAATTGTTTTTAGGAAAAACTATCACAGCTGCAAGCAAAGGTGTCGGGCAATGGATGGGAGGAAAAACTGTACAGGTAGCATTTGTTCAACTTTTGATGTGTTGATTATTTTATACAATACGTGTAAATATTTGTTGTAAATACGATTTCATTTGATTTTAATTATAATTATTATTATTCATTTAAATAATAATATATTTTTACTTTTGTTATGTGTCTGTCTAAAATATTATTTATGCACCCTTTGTTTATGTGTGTGATAATGCTTTATGTGTTATAATCTCATTGTGTGAAACCTTTATACTGCTTCTCCTATATTTGTTGTAAATAATTTATAATTACTTATTTCACTTATTGATTATTTTAACCTCACTATACTTGCAATTATATTTATTCTCGTTGTTGTTTCTATTGTCAATCATTAAACTTAATTTATTTTTTAAAATTACATCCAAAAAATCATACAAATTATTGGAATTAAACTACTTACTTCCATAAACGTATTTTTGACATTTTATGAACTATACCTATTATGATTATCTATTATAAACAATTTATTATAATCGGTTTTCAACTTTCGGTCACTATAACATGAAATTTCTTAACTGGAAATATTGCGACCACTTTATTCAAATTATATTTGCACTTGTATACATCGGAATACTCTAATTACATCATCTATTAACTCTGAATATCTGGATATTGCAATTCTAAATAATAAAATATTCAATTCGCAATCACATTTCCCTCACGCATTTTATTCTGCCGCACTTGTCGCACTTGTATGCACAGAAAAAAGTGACGTGGAAACGCGTCATAGGCAAACGCACACAGGCTCTTCTGCAGGATCAATCAGCCGGTCTGGATAGGCGCAGCGCCCTTTCCATATCGAAAAGAAATCTGTACTCCAATGAAACACCACAAGAGGCTAGGGAAAGAAGAAGAAGAATGTATAGACCAGTCTCTGAGGAAAAACCTGCATTTCCAGCACAAAACAAAAATTTTCATGCTCATGTCATGGAGAATAAGGAAGTTGTAAAAGCTCTAGGACTTTTGGCTACTTGCACGCAGAATGTTAAACAGGTGAAGATGATTGCAATAACTCTTTCTTCGTAAAACATTTTATGTGGGAACCAATAATAATGTCATGGTTTTTATCAGTCTTGTTGTGTTAGTCTTTTATTTGCCGGAATGCTAACATTTAAAAACCGGTTCATAAACCGGTTCAGAAACCGGTTCTCATGTGTGTTCCGGTTCCTTTCGAAACGGAAAGAAACAAAAATTATTACAAAACTCATTTTGTACACATATATGCATGTTTAGTACAATAATAGTAACATTTAATATGAATTAGTTGAATTATAATTTATAAAATTCACTTATTAAATCATTTTTTGTATGTAGCAATTTGTATTAAATTTTTTTTTGCCGGAACGCGTTCTGGCCCAAAACTGATTTGCCGGAACGACGTTCCGGCGCGTTCCGGCTCGACAACACCACTGGTTTTCATATATATATTTTAAAACTTGAACCACTTTTATAATTACTTTGGAAATTATACAAAACTTCAAATTTTAAGATAAAAAATATAAACATGAACGGTCACATTTGAAGTCCAATACTTGTTGGGGTGTTACCCCAATATATATTCAAATATTGAAATACTGCACTAAGTCATAATATAATATTTAAAAGAAATATCTAGTAAAATATATAAGAACTTATAGCTCTGGATAACCTGATATCATGCAGTAGTGATATCAATTTTCATTTGAAAATATAAATCAATAATATGTTTCCAATTGAAAATAACTCATTTCGGGCACTGCGGTATGAAATAACTATGAAAAATCTCTTACACTATTCCCTGAATTGAGTTGTAGTTTAATTCAGCTTACAGACCTGCCCTATGTCGTTACTACTTATTATTATTGCTGCTGATTTAAAACTACAACTAACTGATTTTATTTTAAAATGTATAGAATTGTATTCGACATATTTCTGACATAGTCTGAATTCCATTAATCGAGAGGTCCGTGACTCATCATTGCAGCTTTTCTACACCTGTGAACTCGTGTAAAGATTTTAATTTTGCATATATAATTACTACTGGGAAATTATTATGAGGAACTGTCTTGATAAAAAACTAAAATTTCAAGAAGAAAGTGGTCTCATTTAATAACCGAAGATAAAAACTTATATTTATAGCACAACTATTAGGTATATTTATATAAAATACTCAATATTTCTTTACTTACAAAATGTTTTTCTTGTTTATTTAGGAAGTTACTACTTTTATTAGACAATGGAAGCCTTATCAATTTCTGTGGCGTAATGAGCGGTCAACTAGGGAGCTTCTGGCTTTGGGTTTGGAAGAATTTGAAACCACTTTGCGAAAATTGGGCGAACTAGATAGAAAATTAGCAGGAGAACCTGATATAAAAACATTTGCAAATTGTCTCGCCATAGATGCTGAAAAATTGAAATTTGGATTATTGACAGAAATTAAATGTAATAAAAAATAATTAAATCAAATTTTTATATAAAATATATACTAATATATATTATATATTTATATATATTTATATATATATATATATATATTTGTATATAACGACGTTTATTCTCTGATAGCTTGCACACATAGCATCGGTCAGGCAATGAAGAAAAAATATAGACGTGAGATGGATTATATTTACGCAGTCATTAAGGAAATGGAAAGAAAATTGAATCGTCGAATTAGAGACTTGGATGATGTGAGAACAATCATGGAAACTTTACGTAAGATACGAGATCAAGAAGTTGACATGGAACTAAAGATTGATCCTATAGAGGTGATATCAGTTGTCTACTTAAATCATATTTATATTTATGTTATTGATTTTATGAAGGCACTCAATCAAAGTAATTGTATATTAACTTGTTTATTATAAATATTAATAGTAAACTATTAACTTCATATTAATAATAAAATAAATATCTCTTTTTTTTGTTTTCACCAATTACTTCGTAATAATTTGCTCACATCTTCATGAGCATGCACAAATTTTTAACAATTACTTGTATTGGATATTATAAATTATAATGCAACTATAACTATAGTTTATTTTACTTGACTTCTCATTAGTACACCAACAAGCCATTTATTGACTGACTGCATTGTTAATATTATTTACATTTTTTATACTGTTTTTACTCTGGTAATTCGCATCATAAACTATTATTTTTTGTCTTTGTCCATAATTATTTTCTTGACTAAATTTTTTTTAAAACGTGATTGATTTCAGGAAGCTTTCAATATACTCACAAGATATGGAGTACCGGCTGAGAGAGAGCATTTGGAACTAGTCGATGGTCTCAGGGATACTTGGCAGAGACTCCAATCACGTGCTCTGGATACACATGTTAAACTCTTAGAAGCACAACCCAAATTTGAAGCTGATTTGGCGTCTAACTTAGAAGTATTTAGGTTGTGAACTTTCCAATTTAATAACTAAAAAAAATTTGGTGATCAACTATTTTATTGACTCGAATTTTATGTTTTATTTATAGATCCGACAATGCAATGTATGTGCATGAGTACAGAAATGCTGGACCCATGCAACCAGGATTGAGCCCACGAGAAGCTTCAGACAGGCTTTTGCTATTCCAGGTAAATATAAAAATAGTAATATGTAATATTATATAATTTTATTTTTGTATTATTATTATTATTTTGCTTATTATTAATTATATCTTACAATTAATTTTTTTACATCATATTTAACATTCGTATGTTGTTTATTCTAGAAGGGTGTGTCTATTCTCATTTTCTATTTGATATTAAACATATGCAATTCTGGGCATTTTTTTCTTCAGATACCTTTATTGAACCTGAACATGATATCGAATATGTTATAATAATAATTTTGTAGGCCTTTAACGTTTTAACTCAATTTATTTACATCGTTTGATTTATGCCAATTTAAATTGATTGATCACATTGTATTATTAATCCAAGATATTAAATTTTACGACACAGAAAAAACACACTTGTAAGTTTAGTTTTATTATGAGTTGGTGGTATAAAGAAAGAATATTAATTTATAAAGTATGTTAGTATTCAATGCATCAGTATTATGCATTTTCTCAAATGTTGTCTCTTCAGAATCGGTTTGATGGAATGTGGCGTAAATTGCAAACATATCAAAGTGGAGAAGAACTATTTGGTTTACCTACAACAGATTATCCTGAATTGGCTCAGATAAGAAAGGAATTGAATTTGCTTCAAAAATTGTATAAATTGTACAACGATGTTATTGATCGTGTTAGTAGTTACTACGATATTCCTTGGGGAGAAGTGGATATTGAAGAAATCAACAACGAGCTGATGGAGTTCCAGAACAGATGCCGAAAGTTGCCAAAAGCGTAAGTCAGTAACTATATCTATTTTATATTAGACGAAATACTATATTAAGAGTAAGCGAACTCAATTTAATGCAAAATATAATCTTCAAAATTAAAATATATTATATAAAAGTTTAGGAAATAATTAAAAGCCTTATAATTTCAGTTTGAAAGAATGGCCTGCATTCTTTGCACTTAAGAAAACAATTGATGATTTCAATGATATGTGCCCATTATTAGAATTAATGGCCAATAAAGCAATGAAACCGAGACATTGGCAAAGAATTGTGGAGGTTACAAAATATAACTTTGAACTAGAAAGTGAGGGATTCTGTTTGAAGAATATTTTAGAAGCACCGTTATTAAAATACAAGGAAGATATAGAGGTATATTTTAATTAAAATTCTATAAACTCTGATTATAATTTAACCGACGTTATTTGATAAATAAAGTAACATGATTCAATAGAAGATAAGTATTTTTTTCAGTTTTACAACTTACTAATAAATATATATAATTTGAATCCCAGGATATCTGTATATCAGCAATGAAAGAGAAAGATATTGAAGCAAAACTGCGTCAAGTAACAGGCGAATGGTCTGTACATGAATTAACCTTCATGACATTTAATAATCGTGGCGAATTATTATTGCGAGGCGACACAACTGCTGAAACCATAGGACAACTAGAGGACAGTTTGATGATCTTAGGATCATTGTTGTCTAATAGGTTAGAACATTCAAATTATTTTATAACATATTTCATTTTTAAAAAATATATTGTACAATACATAATAATTCATAATAATGTATTCATTTCTAATTATCTAAGCCAATTACATGTTATGATAAAAAAAATTATCTTGTGGGCTGCGGCAGATCACTTGGACATTTTCTCTTTAGTCGCCTTAATTTTTCGGCTGATTGAACTAATTGTATTTCAGGATTTGCATGTCTATCCAATTTATCTTGGAAAATTGAGTTTCTGCTGTTAATGATCTCCGCCACTGTGGGTATTTTTGAGTCCTTGTAGATCATATGTTTAGTCATAAACCATGGAGTATTGCTGATCATTCTTAGTATCTTGATTTGAGTTTTCTGAATTTTAAGAATATTGCTCTTGCTGGTGCAACCCCTCGCATATATTTCTATTGATAGACTTGTTTTTAGATGTTTTCATACGTTAATCGAAATTTCTCGATTCATTATACGTTTTATTATTATACACATTATAGCAAATCTTGGTATTGCAAATTCTTAATTCAAGCAATTTTATTGCTTTGGGCAGCTATGTCTATTTACTATGCATGTAAATAAATGCGTCTTCGTGGTTGTGCGGAGCCATAAAACTTAGATGCATTGTCCATACACTTAAGTTTTATGGCACCAGGCGATCATAGAAGATACCTGCTTAAAATGCATAGTAAATCTAGCTCCCAAAAGCAATAAAGCCACATGTATATGAGTAGGAGTTCTCACCGCCATTGAAGCTGCCTCCTAATCTGGAAAATGTATTATTTTTAGGTATAATGCGCCATTTAGAAAGCAGATACAACAATGGGTACATGATCTTGGAGGAACAAATGAAATTTTAGAACGCTGGCTTTTGGTTCAAAACAGCTGGGTTTATTTGGAGGCTGTATTTGTTGGGGGCGATATTGCTAAACAGCTACCCAAAGAAGCTAAGAGGTAAAATGATAGAGATTTCTTTTTTTTGAATAATTTCGAAAATTGGATAAAAAATAATAGTGTCTAGAAATTATAAATATCAGAAATACGCTAATATACTTGATAAATATCACTTAATACTTATCATGGTATAAATAAGAGAATTATTACAAATATATAACACACAAGTTAATATTTGGAAATCGTATAATTGTTATTACTAATTAAAATTTCTCAAAAATAATTATATTTCAAGATTCTCAAAAATCGATAAATCTTGGCAAAAAATTATGCAACGGGCTCATGAAACTCCAGGCGTTGTTTCATGTTGTGTGGGTGATGATTTGCTGAAGCAACTTTTGCCTCATTTACAAGAACAACTCGAGCTATGTCAGAAATCTTTGAGTGGCTATCTAGAAAAGAAAAGAACAATGTTCCCGAGGTAATAAATATTTTATAGTGAAATAGCGTAGTGAGCAAAGTTTGAATAATAGCATAAAACTGTTTTTAGATTCTTCTTTGTATCTGATCCAGCGCTGCTTGAAGTATTAGGTCAAGCATCTGATTCGCACACTATACAAAATCATTTGCTGTCGATATTCGATAATACAAGATATGTAAAATTTCATGATGTTGGTAAGTATTTATTTTTTCATTGAATATTAAAAAAAATATTTTTAATATTTTTGCTATATTAATTGTGATTACGATCATTTTTATGCCTATAAATAGAATTTTTACACTTCAGTGACATATTGTATGTGATGGACCAAAAATAATCGCACTTTTTGTTTATAGATTAATTGTATCAAAACATAAAAATATTTTAAAATGATTTTCATATAATTTTCACTAAACTTTTTATATATAGTAGGACTCAATATTTTTACGATCCTTTTGAACTACTTATTAATAATTTTTCAAAATAATCGTGACAATTTTTTATCCTAAAATGAAAGTAACTGCTGCTAAAATTGAGTATCAGAATGATCGACTGGCTTGGAGTAAAGAATGCAATTAATATTTGCGATATGGAACAAATATGTGACAAAACTATTTTTAATGGATGAAAATTAATGAATAATTCATTCCACTAATTTTGCATATATTATTTTTGTTACGTCGGTTTTAATTAATTACGGTAGTACTCACTCTATAGTAATTTTTGATAAATTGTAATTTTATGAATAATAATTAAAATCCATTTTAAATATATGATATCACATTTAGACAGTATGTAGCTATCATTATTACTATTAAATCAATATATCTGTTTCAAAAGTTGAAACGCTGTTGAAAGCAAAAACATATAAATATATTCAGACGTCTTAACTTTCAGTCATCAGATTGGAACAAATTTCTTAATATAACGGAAGTAATGGGTTTACTCCAACTAGCAATATTGAATTGAAACATGTTTCAGATTTAAATCTTTTTGTTATATTAACACTATTTTTATTGGATGTATTGCAGAATACAATAAAATGACTGCAATCATATCATCAGAGGGTGAAACTATACAACTGGAACGAGCAGTACGAGCAGAAGGTTCTGTCGAAACATGGCTTACTTCTCTTTTGCAAACTTCTCAATCCAGTTTGCATGGAATTATAAGAAATGCTTCCGGGATGCTCAATGATCCGAACATAAATTTATTGGCGTTTCTAGATAAAATGCCAGCTCAAGTGATTTATCTTAAAAAAAAATAACTATTTGTTAGTAAATATATGACTTGTAAAATTATTTTTCAGGTGGGCTTATTAGGAATTCAAATGATTTGGACTCGTGATGGTGAAGCAGCACTTATGCAAGCTAGGCATGACAAAAAAATTATGGCCGAGACTAATAACAAATTTTTGGAGTTATTGAATACTTTAATTGATCAAACTACTAGAGATTTGACTAAAATCGAAAGGATTAAATTCGAGACACTGATTACTATACATGTTCATCAACGTGATATCTTTGATATTTTGGTAATTAAAATAACATTAGTACATTCAGTTCTCAGAATTAATTTTATGTATATTTGTTGATCAAAATATCTGATTCAGATATCAGTTAACTTTGATAATTCTTAGGTTAGCTATTTATTTTCAATATAAAGTAAACAAATAGCTTTTTCATAACTATACTAACCTTACTTATTTATTTTTTATCTATAATTTAACCGATATTATGAATGCAACATCAATGGCAAATAATAAGGAAACGTTTTAAGTATCTGTTAATTATATGTACAAAAAATTGTTAAAGAAAGATATTGTAATTAGATTTAATTGTTTCTTTTAAGTACTGGCTTAATTTTTATTTATGAACAAATGCTATAAACCTGAGATTAAGCTAAATTATAGATGTCGTTAGTAAAAATAAGTTACAGAATAATACATGAATTTACTAGTCCAGTCATTTAAGCTTAAATTAGGTAAGAATCTCGGAATTCGAGTTACCAAGCTGGAAGCCTGTAAATACTTGTATATTGACACCCTAAACATGTCAAACAATGACATGTCGTTTTTTTCTATTTTTCCATTTATTTATACAACATTACTATATTTTTATAATCATATACTTCCTAAAAGAAATCTTTTAACAAACTTAAGAAAGATTTATCAAAATCCGAATAATCTTTAGGAGGAGTATATTTTTGCATACATTATTATAGAAGAATTTTATAAATATATATATGTATATATATATATATATATATATATATACTAGCCGGCCCGGTAAACGCATGTCACATATAAATGTTCCTGGGACTTATTAATATTCAATTGAAGTTTTTCTATATAGTTATTATTTGTGTTCTCAAGTTGTCTCAAAACCTACATATGGTAGGATTTCAATACTATATGTAGATTTTGAGACAACTTTAGGGTGTCAATATACAAGTATTTACAGACTTACAGCTAGGTATCTCGAATTCCGAGGTGAACTTACTATAATGACTGGATACTTATTAATAATTTTTCAAAATAATCGTGACAATTTTTTATCCTAAAATGAAAGTAACTGCTGCTAAAATTGAGTATCAGAATGATCGACTGGCTTGGAGTAAAGAATGCAATTAATATTTGCGATATGGAACAACTGGACTATCCTTGAAATATTATGAAGGAAAACTTTTATTATCTTTCACCACTTTTTGGTTTATTTTTGTATGTAATAATAGTTTTTTTGCGTATATAAATTAGATTTGTTTTGCAATGTTTACAAAAAAAAAGTTTTGATGTGTTTTTAAAATTATTTTACACTTTTCAGTGTCGTATGAACGTGCGATCAGCAAATGATTTCGAATGGCTCAAACAATGTCGCTTCTACTTCAAAGATGATCTTGATAAAACTTGGATTGCTATCACAGATGTCACGTTCTCTTATCAAAATGAATATTTGGGGTGCACAGACAGACTGGTAATCACACCTCTTACAGACAGGTATTACTGAATTAATAAATTTTAAGATAATTAAAAATATTAATAAAAAAACAATTATTTCATTTTTAAATGATTGTCTTTACAGAAATATTGATATGTTTAATCATTTGCAATATTTATAACTTTTGCAGATGTTATATAACCTTGGCGCAGGCACTATCGATGAGTATGGGGGGTGCTCCTTGCGGTCCTGCAGGTACTGGCAAAACCGAAACTGTTAAAGACATGGGTAAAACTCTTGCAAAATATGTTGTCGTCTTCAATTGTTCAGACCAGATGGATTACAGGTTACTGATAATGAATAATATTATTCACTCTATAAATTCCTTGACGTTCATTCAAACATGCATTTAAGTATTATTATTTAATTATAATCTTCATCATATTTTAAAAGCCAACTATAAGCCAAGCATTAACTTGTAAGCAAATATTGATAAGGTGACCTAAATTTACATTTACAATAATTTAACAAATTTTAACACGTTGACGGACAGTAGGAACAAGCGAAGTTCGAAAATTGACACTATATGTTTTTGTGAATTTTAGAATGTTAGAAGTATAGTTTTACTCTTTCTGCTTAAATAAACTTAATTTTGATTAATTTAGTACCTTTAATTAGGTTGCGGCTATAACAGCAAAAATTTAAAAACGTAAATGACAGGTTTAATGGTTCAAACAAGCAATTTTTGTATGCAACAAAGTATTTTTGGGAGTTTTACACGAAATGTTAGTTCTTAATCAAACAAAAATAAATAAATGACAAAAAAAATTATTATAATTTTATAATTATTATACAATTGCAATTCTTGCAGTAATATGATGTTTCCTTCCTTATTCCCTGTTTATAACATTGTTTACAACGCTGAAAATATGTTTTTCGCTGATAATTTTCAGGAGGTAAAATTTTCTCAGGAAAATGCTGTGTTCCATTGTTGTTGATTTCATTGGTTTGGATTTGTGCACGTTTAAATTGAACCAAAGTTCTTCCATCCCGTTCATTATCTATACCAGTTAGAGATCGTATGATTGCTTCCCTGTACTCTATATACTTCATTTGAGAACCTGTCTTTTCTTTAAAGATGTAGAAAGAATTCCATACTGCTACATCCAGTAGATGAAAGATTACCTTTTCTGTTTAAAGTATAAAATGAATAATAAACAAATACATACCAGTATAGTTATATAAATAATAATAAATATCGTTAAACGTATCAATAAGAACTATAAATTCAATAGAAAACACGATCGCACTACTCCATTCACAACCATGTGCATACTGAATCTGCAACTCGTATAACAGGTGAAATAATATATGAACTTCAACCTAAAAAGATGTTTTCAAAACACGACACTATGCTTCTACGTATACGCCAGTAAGTGCACATTTGTGCTGCTATAGCCGTAGTGTCTAAAAACGACCGTTTCATTTTGGACGGCTATAGCAGTCATGCCACATTGTGAACTTCACTTTGACGGCTATAGCCGCAATTGTCCGTCAACGTGTTAATATAATTTTAAAACTTTAAGAATTTTATAGAATTTAAAATTCAATGTTATAAGACTATAATCTACTTTATTCAACTTCTCTTATGGTAAGTTATAGTAATCGCAAAAAAATCGAAAATGAAAATTTTTATATATATTTACGTTTCAGAGGTTTCTGAACATTTTTGGCATATCTTAGAAAAAATTGATGTATGTGTGTGTATTTGTGTGTGTGTGCGGATACAAATTTTCGTCGACGATTTCGGGAACACCGATCAACCGATTTGAATAATTCAAAAAACATTCGATTCGAATTGATAGGGAGACATGCTGATTAGTTTTTGGCGAAAGCAGGTCTAGCCGTTCCGAAGTAACGGGGCAAAAAGTGCCAAAAACAGTAACTCAGTTTTTAAGAGGACGGAGCGTCCGATTTTAATAATTCAGAAAACATTTTACTTGTATTGACAAGGTGAAATACTGACTAAAGTTTTGGGAAGGCAGGTCTAGCGGTTATGGACTCTCAATAAAAATAAGTTAAAAAAATGTCATTTTGCGGTCAAAATAGTTTATTGGACATTTGTACATCAAATTATCAGATATTTTATAGAGATTTTAATAATGTGTACACATTTTGTGTAATTTTTTTTGAGTTCCGTACCAAATTTTTTATTACGGTACGGAAAGTTCTAGCAATTTGCCTTAAGGCACGATGCAATGCACCCCGCTAGTTTATGTCATGTTATTGTTAAGAAAGAAAAACACAGCTGTCTTGAATAATCTGTTAGCAGCCTTTACTCGTCACATTAATTTGAATATTTTCAATTATCCAGAGGTTTGGGACGTATATACAAAGGATTAGCTCAGTCCGGATCATGGGGTTGCTTTGATGAATTCAACAGAATAGAACTTCCTGTACTGTCTGTTGCTGCGCAACAAGTTGCGGTTGTATTGGCTGCTAAAAAAGAAAAGAAGAAAAACTTCATATTCACAGATGGTGATACTATAGACATGTGCCCAGAATTTGGAATATTCATTACAATGGTAAAATTAATAAATAATAAGAAAAAAAAATGTAAAATATATTTTATGGTAAATTAAATTATTAACCCTTTCCACTCGCGAATTCCGAGATTTATATGAATTTTGCCGCCGGAGTGACGGCATCCGAGTCGAAAGGGTTAATGCATGTGATCATCTTCATAAAAATATTCAATGAATATTACGTCCAGCATAGAAAATTTGAAACATTCACATTCCAGTTTGATCGACTCCATCCAATATACTAAAATATTAAGCTGGAAATAAGTATCAGATAATACAATATAAATTCAATTTTGCATAATCATAAAGATTTCCAGTGCTATTTTATGAAGTTATTTTATCAGAAATATAACTTGTTTTTATTTTCTATGATAGAATCCCGGTTATGCTGGTAGAAAAGAATTACCAGAGAACTTGAAAATACAGTTTCGAACGGTTGCGATGATGGTGCCAGACAGACAGATTATTATTCGCGTGAAACTAGCAAGTTGTGGTTTCCTAGAAAATATAACTTTAGCAAGGAAGTTTTATACGCTGTACAAACTTTGCGAAGAACAACTCACCAAACAGGTAATTATTCATTGATTGATGATCTATGAATATTTTATGGCATTTTTATTATGTGTTTTAAATATTCAACATAGACCAACATCTAACCACACATTGGGATAGTTAATTTTAATTTTAAAATGTATGTAGAAATTTGGAAGGCATACTAATGAAAAAATATTTTCTTGATTGTTTATAATTGTTATGATAATAAAATAATAATAAAATAATAATAAAAATGTTATGAAATTAGAATGTGTCAGACTATTTAAAAATTTATACAGAATGAGAATGCTTTGAAATCTTTTCTACAAATATTTAATTTCGTTTAAGTTTAAATCTTCTGATAGATTTTTGAAAATTCATGATATCACACACACATTGAATTAATGTGATTTAGAACAAAACATAATTATTTTTCTTTTATTATTATATTATGCTCTAATAAAATTTATCTAGTTAAATTATATTACAATTAATATTTCTTTTATAACCAATTTTTACGAACACTTGATATATTTCTCTAATTTTTTTCCAGGTACATTACGATTTCGGTCTACGTAATATTCTTTCCGTCTTGCGAACTTTGGGTGCTGCAAAACGTGTCAACAATCGCGATTCCGAAAGCATGATTGTGATGAGAGTTCTAAGAGATATGAATTTATCAAAACTAATTGACGAAGATGAGCCTTTGTTCATATCTTTAGTCTCTGATCTTTTCCCTAATCAAGCATTAGAAAAAACTTCTTATCCCGAATTGGAAGCCGCTATTCAGCAACAAGTCGATGAAGCTAAACTGGTATACCATCCACCCTGGGTACTAAAATTGATACAGGTAAAAGTTATTTATTTATATCATTATGTGAGAAAAGATAAGCAATTAATATTAAAAAAATAACATACAAAGTAGTAAATAATAGACTGATATTTTAACAAAATAATTTTGCTATTTATGCAATGTTAAAAGTGCAAAATATTTGATATTTATTATTTAAATAATATGAAATTATATATTACATTATAAGTTTATGGACGTTGAATGGTAAATATCCATAAGTTTCGGTGTCGCTCTCATTTTTATTAGTTTTCGTCATTTCAAAATCATTCCAGCATATAACTTATTAAGCAGGACATAATTGTTACAAATGCACGCTGTAATACATATCGAATGCAGTGTTGATTTGCACCGAAATGACTTTTTTTTACTGATTAATAGTTTAATACCAATTGTGAGCAAACGTGCGTTATTATTTTTTCATAAGTAGTTTTACCGTAAATAAATATCATTATAAACGATATCGAATCGAAATCCTGATTTACGCCGTTCTCGCTATGTCCTCGGTAGTATAGTGGTCAGTATCCCCGCCTGTCACGCGGGAGACCGGGGTTCGATTCCCCGCCGGGGAGGATACTTTTACATAGTAAGCAATTCAGTAATATTTTTTTTCCACCTTTTATGACAAGGGCAACTTGGTTTTTGATAATTACTCTTGGGGCGTAAATATTGGGAATACGTCGCTTTGACCAGAAAACCATCTCAACTATTTTATAGGAAAAATTGTAGGTGTACAAAGAGCCCACACTCTTTCAAAGATTGGAACAACGTGTCCTCGGTAGTATAGTGGTCAGTATCCCCGCCTGTCACGCGGGAGACCGGGGTTCGATTCCCCGCCGGGGAGAATACTTTTACATAGTAAACAATTCAAAAATACTTTTTTTTACATTTTATGACAAGGACAACTTGGTTTTTTATAATTACTCTTGGGACGTAGATATTGGGAGTACGCCAACTTAACCAAAAAACCATCTCAACTTTAAGAGAGAAAAAAATGTAGTGAAGTACAAAGAGCCCACACTCTTTCAAAGTTCGGAAAGACGCGTCCTCGGTAGTATAGTGGTCAGTATCCCCGCCTGTCACGCGGGAGACCGGGGTTCGATTCCCCGCCGGGGAGGATCTTTTTGTGAAATTAGTTCTTTTTTGATTTAGTTATATGCTTTTATACTTGAATTTGCTAAAGTATATTAATTAAAGTAATAATGATTCGTGTTTAAACTTTTTTCCTCTTAATTTAAATTATTACTGATATTATACTAGTTAAACATAAGTATAATCTTAACTCCTAATATTAACAATGCAATATAATTTCTACAGTTATATGAAACTCAACGTGTGCGTCATGGTATAATGACATTAGGACCATCTGGTGCAGGTATGTTATATATTGCAATTTGATTACTAAAATTACCTATTTTACCTAAGTTATAAAAAATAGATTATAATTGGAAATACGTTTTATTGGAATATTAAATACTTACATCCATCTAACAAGTATTATCAAAGCTACAGCTTTTATAAGTTTGTTATCTATTCATCTAGTATCTATTTTTACTCTGCTCATTCCAATATCTTATGCAGCTTATAAACTCTAATTACAATAAATTTTTTTTTCATGAAAATGTATCGTTTTCTAGGAAAAACATGCTGTATTCAAATGCTGATGCGAGCCTTGTCTCAATGCGAAGACGTTCATCGTGAAATGCGTATGAATCCTAAAGCAATAACAGCTGCTCAGATGTTTGGTAGATTGGATGTGGCCACTAATGATTGGACGGATGGAATATTCTCTGCCTTATGGCGAAAAACTTTAAAGGCACCCAGTGGTAAATACAGTCTTTTATCATAATTCTTTTAACTCATATGGAACCAGTTAACTTTACATCTATATAGAAAAACTCTGAAGGCACCCATAGTGGTAAATATAGTCTTTCATCATAATTCTTTTAACTTATTTGGAACTAGTTAACTTTACATCTATATAGCATATAGCAGATTTTAAAAACCCGTTTTAATTGTTGAAGTTATTTTTATCTTGAATGTTAGATTTATTCTTTTATACAATCAATCATACTGAGATTATTCATATTCAGACGAAAGAATTTGGTTGGTTTTGGATGGTCCAGTTGATAGCATATGGATAGAAAATCTAAACTCTGTCTTAGATGACAATAAAACTCTTACTCTTGCGAATGGCGATCGTTTAACAATGTCGCCGACATGCAAAATCATTTTCGAACCTCACAATATCGACAATGCATCACCAGCTACCGTAAGTAGAAATGGAATGGTTTACATGAGTTCTTCAGGATTGGACTGGAGACCCAGTAAGTAAAAATAAAGTTCATTTATTCTTTCAACATATATTCACTTGTTTTATTTTTACAGTTGTATCATCGTGGTTGAAGTTCCGTACTGCACAAGAAACGACGGTTTTCCAAGAATTATTTGAATGTTCTTTTCAAACAGTGTATTCATGGTGTACGCAAACTCTTAAAGCAGTTATGCAACTCTTACAATGTAATGTGGTTAAACAAATGTTGGATTTGTTACAAGGACTTGTTCCTCAACAAGTACAAGAAGAAACTAGCGCCGCTAAGAGTGTGTCTGGTGATATAGATCAAGGTATACCTTTATCAAAATTTTATCTTAAACCGGTTATGAAATTTATTGATATATAAATATAAATTATTATTTGAAATCTATTTGAGCGACAATTGATTGATACCTACTATTATTATATTAAATTCAAGTGAAGAAAATAATGTTTTAATGTTTTTTCAGATGACGAACTAACAGATGGTGACAAAGCAGTGCAAATTCAAGCACCTATTTTATCTGTAGAACACTTAAATAAAATTTATGTTTTTGCACTGACATGGGGTATAGGAGCGCCTTTAGAAAATAATGATAGACGAAAACTAGATCTTTATTTAAGAGAAAATTTTGCTGATAATCTAGATCTACCAAAACCAACAAAGAAAGAACCAAAAGGTATATCAATAGAATTCTCAGGAATTTAAATATAAATAATATTAAAATTTGGCATGATTTAATTTTTAGCGACTATTTTTGATTTTGTTGTGAGTTCTAATGGCACGTGGGAACCTTGGACAAGTTTAGTAACTAATTATGTGTATCCTGATATCAGCACACCAGATTTCTTAAGTATCATGGTACCTATTCCTGATAACGTACGAATAGACTATTTGATTGATACTATTGTGAAACAAGAAAAAGCTGTGTTGCTTATCGGTAAGTTACATCACTTATTATGATCTGATAATAAAGAAATATTTATGAAAATTATTATATAATAATATTTACAATTTTTTGCGGAATAAGTATGTTTAGGAAAGTTTTAGACACCTTCTTGTAAACTAATTATAATTTTTCTTCTTATTAAGGTGAGCAAGGTTCGGCTAAAACAGTGATGATGAAAGCTTATATGAAAAAAGCCAATCCAGATCAGTATCTTGGCCGTTCTTTTAACTTTTCTTCTGCAACAAGTCCATATCAGTTTCAAAAAACAATTGAAAGTTATGTAGATAAGCGCAGTGGTAGCACTTTTGGGCCGGCAGGCGGTAAAAAAATGATTGTTTTTGTGGATGACATCAATTTGCCGCAAATCAACGAATGGGGAGATCAAATTACTAATGAAATAGTAAGGCAAGTTATGGATATGAAAGGCTTTTATAGCCTTGAAAAACCTGGAGAATTTACAACTATTGTAGATGTATTGTTTGTCGCAGCTATGGGACAACCAGGTAGGTAAAAATAGTTTGATGCATAAAATATTTATGCTATAGGGAATCACATTTGTTTCAGATATGTTTATTTTCTAAGCACTTATTGTTAGCATAAACAAAAAAAAAAGATATTTGTTTCTGAAGCTAGAACATTATATTATTGTCTTCTAATTGAAATCTTTATTCTATTTTTGTCATTAGGCGGAGGACGAAATGATATACCGTCAAGATTAAAGAGACAATTTTCTGTGTTTAATTGTACTATACCTGATGACGCAGCTATTGATAAAATATTCCGTGTCATGGGCGAAGGGCATTACAACAGCAAACGTGGTTTTCCTCTAGAAGTTAGAAACCTTGTGAAGAAAATAATTCCTCTGACCAGAGTTTTATGGCAAAGGTAACACTGCTAATTCAAATAAGGTATATGAGCAGTATAAATTTAGTGAAAGTAGTGACGATAATAAACAAAATATGAATCAAAATATATATATATAAATGAACAATAGCATTCAGAATATTTTTACAAATTTCATTTTGTTATATTCATATCAGAAAATAGGTATGGTGGTTAATGTACCCAAGGTATATAATTATTATCGATTTACTATTATTTTTTTTATTCAACAATAGATTTATAACTGTCCTAGATAGACATTTAGTAAATCTTTTGGCGATTAGAGATACAAATTTAATTATTATCGATTTATTATTAATGAAATAATATGTTGTTTTCTAGAACGCGTGCCAAGCTATTACCAACTCCAGCTAAATTTCATTATGTATTTTCGTTACGAGATCTTTCAAGAATTTGGCAAGGACTTGTGGGTACATTATCAACAGTTGTCGATAGCGAATCAGTTCTTCTTGTATTGTGGAAACATGAATGCAGCAGGTATGATCCATATATCACACAAAATTTAGAAATAAAAATATTTGATATAAACAAAACATAAAATAGATTTTGATGATTATCATTTTAACCCTTTTGCTGCGGGCATCGTCTATAGACGACATCCTCTTGACAAGATTTAGCTTCCAAAATGTACAAATGTTATGATATTTGTACATCAGAATAAAATGGAATCAAACCTTTTTAGAATGATTTAACAGAGTATGAACAACTGTTTATAAAATTGTTTCAATCATTATTATTACGGACTCAATCCTTCTGCTATTTCTTATATAAAATATGAATCATCATTTAAATGAATTCATAACTGAATGCACAGAATATTACATACAAATATATATGAATAATTATTAATATTATTTCATTGTACTTTGCTAGAGTATTTTCCGATCGTTTTACATCTTTTGCGGATAAAGAATGGTTCGATGAAGAACTTATGAACGTCGTCGTTGAAATGTTAGGGCCACAATACAAGGCTAAGACAGAAGCCAATCCTGCATTCGTAGATTTTATGAGGTAAATAGCTTGTTTCTTATATTATTTTGAAAGCAGTATTTGTAATTGTGAATATTTTTTTATTTTATTTCAATGTCATTATACAGGGATGCTCCTGAGCCTACCGGAGAAGAAGGTGAAGATGCTGATATGGAATTACCTAAAGTTTATGAACCCGTATATGATTTGTCTGTTTTACGTGAAAGATTGGATATGTTCTTATCACAGTTTAATGAAATGGTGCGCGGATCTGGAATGGACTTGGTATTTTTTCCAGATGCTATGCTTCATTTAGTTAAGGTGGGTTTAGTTAAATTGTTTAATAGTGATTTTTCATGATATTAAGGTGAAAATTAAAAATAAGCACTTATTTTTGCACAATTTTTTTAACTAAGGAAACATTTTTCAGGTTTCTAGAGTTATACGTCATCCACGAGGCAATGTGATGTTAGTTGGTGTCGGAGGATCAGGCAAGCAAAGTTTAACTAAGTTATCGTCTTTTATCGCAGGTAAAACGCAAGTGAAAATTAATGAATGCTTTTTCTCAAACATTTCTTGAAATGTTATGTAATTGAAATTCAAGGGGCATTGACGTGCTTCTATAATTTTATCACTATTTAAATACGGTGTAATAATTTTATTTCTTGCGTATTATTATTTTTATATTTATCTATTTATTTTAGGTTACAAAACATTCCAAATTGCGTTAACTCGCTCTTACAATGTGGGTAATTTCTTAGAAGATTTGAAACTTTTATATCGATCATGCGGAGTTCAAGGAAAAGGAACAACATTTATTTTTACGGATATGGATATTAAAGAAGAAGGATTTCTAGAATATTTGAACAATATATTATCATCTGGAGTCATATCTAATCTGTTTACAAAAGATGAACAGTTAGAAATTATATCGGAATTGACACCGATCATGAAACGGGAAAATCCCAAACGAACTTTGAATAATGAACTAGTGATGGATTATTTTTTGAACAGAACTTGCCAGTATTTGCATGTGGTATTCTGCTTCTCGCCTGTAAGTATTTTAATAAATGATAAATAATTTTAATTTAATTGTAAAAAACTAATTAAAATTTACAAAACAACATTGATAATATCTTCTAATATATATTCTAATTGACAATATTTTATTTAAAAGAAGATATTAGGGCTAATAACATAAGTATCTGTAATTACATGAACTACATATTTTCTTTTACGTTTAAATCTATTCAATCTAACGAACTTAAGAATAATGGAAAAGCAAAATATTTATCAATTTGTCTATACGATTTAGAATCAATGGTCATGGTCATGATGCATAATAAAATCAATATCCTTGAACGTTAAAATATTAGATAAAAAAATATTCAAAAAAAAAAATTGAATAAATATGGTGAAACTTAGGTACTTGAAAATTCAAAATTTTTAATTGAAACCTTTAATTTTTAATTAAAATACATTTTTACTATACTTTTTAAAATATTTATATTCAATAAAGAATGCTTATACTAATGCTTAACTTCGACATACGCCATCAATTAATTTTATTAAATCCGTTAATGTGAATTATTTTTAAAAAATGCAAATAAACTTGAGACAAGACTTGAATTTTGAATTATCATGGTTATGGGAATAACTTGACTAATATTTAGGATTTATATTTATGTTCATCGATTCCTATCTATCTCATCAAATACTGTATTGGAAAATTTTTGGTAGAAATTGCTCTAAAATTTATTCTGTAATATGTAATTTAAATAGTATATTTATTTATCAATATTATAGAAATGCAACATGTAAATGGATACTTTAAATCGTTGCAATGTACGAGTGGTAAGAGTTAAAAATATGTATTTAGCGCTGATTTATAGTGATCTACAAAAAACGGTTTTTACTTTTTACTTAATCTTCAACCATATATATAGAATTACATCAATTACCTTCCTAAAGTAAATAATTAATTGTAACGATGTAATAAATTTTTAAGGTGGGCGAATCGTTCCGAAGCCGGGCGATGCGTTTCCCAGCATTGGTATCGGGTTGTACAGTCGATTGGTTCCAACCGTGGCCGCGAGATGCCCTAGTTTTAGTTGCGCAGCATTTCTTGCATGAGTTCGAAATAGCTTGCACACCTGAAACAAAACAAGAACTGGTCTCTGCACTCGGTTCAATACAGGACGCCGTTGCCGAAACTTCAACTATTTACTTCCAAAGGTATTTTCACACTGAATCATCATCCGTATGTTTAATTCACTGAACGCCAAGCACTTTAGGAATAATATTCCAAACTAGTGGGGCGCATGGCATCGTGCCTTAAGGCAAATTGTTGAAACTTTCCGTACCAAAAATTATTTTTTTCTTAAAAAGATTAACATTTTTGAAAAAAAAATTACTTTCAAAAAATTAGATTTTTGAGAAACTATAAATTTTTGACAAAAATTTCTTTTGTCATATGTCTAATGATCATTTTTGACCGCCAAATGGCATGTTTTTTACTTTTTTCACTAGATCTCTGAAATCGCTAGACCTGTCTTCATGAAAATTTGATCAATTCTTCATCTTGTCAATACAAGTAAAATGTTTTCTGAATTATTAAAATTTGACGCTCCGTTCACTTAAAATCTGAGTTACCGTTTGTGGCACTTTTTGCCCCGTATCTTCGAAACGGATAGATCTGTCTATGCCAAAAACTAATCAGCACGCCTCCTTATTAACAGCAATTGTATGTTTTTTGAATAATTAAAATCCGTTGAACCGTGTTCCCGAAATCGTCGACGAAAATTTGCATCCGCACACACACACACACGCATACATCTATTTTTTTAAGGTATGCCAAAATGTTCAGAAACCTTTGAAACGTAAAGATATATACAAATTTTCATTTTCAACTTTTTTGCGATTACTATAACTTTCTCTACGGGAAGTTAAAAAGGGTATTTGCGTATCTTATACCCTAAAATCTAAATTCATATGCCACATTGAATGCTTTTTTTAATTGTTTTTTTTTTAATTGCGCGGTTTTTCAAATGTTTCGGTAGGTAGTATAACTTTTTTTAGCACCTGTTTATAGCACAAAGGGTATCATCTACTGTAAGAATTTACTATTGGAATAAAATATTTTGAATTAAAATTTGCATTTTAATGACCCACAAAAGTATAGATAATGTGCACAAATTTTACATGACTAAAATCTTTTAAATTAGATATTGAAATCTGAGAAGCAATAAAAACAAGTTATTAAATCGAAGAGATTCGTTAAATTCATGACTGAAATTTATAAAATAGTTTCAAATTTAATAGCAATTCAACTGTACTTTTTTTGATTTTTTAATAGTTTCTAACGATATGAAAAATATAAAACATATTATTTAGTATATAATCAAGTATATCCATATTTTCATTTGATACAACTTATAATTATATTTATAGAAAAACATCGTTTGTTTAAAACTAAAAATATTCAGTACAAGCTATTTACTCTTTTTCAATTTATTCAATTTTAATATCATTACAAGGAAATTTTGTGAAACTTAACACAAGAACGATTGAAATAATAGATAAATAAAATTATACATTATGATATATATTTTTTCCTTGAATATTTAATAAAAATGTGGTATTAATTTTATAGTTGATATCAAATCTCATGAATGATGGCTTAATAATAGGTTGTCAAATATCTCCCTTTCGCCTTTTTGTATTATAAACCAAGAGCAAAAAAGCGGAAGTGAGATATTTGACAACCTAATAATATTGTAATTCTATTATCATAGATTCAGGAGAGCTACACATGTTACACCAAAATCTTATTTAAATTTTATTGGCGGATACAAAAATATATATCAGCAAAAGCAGACAGAATTAGGTGAAGGTGCTCTCCGAATGGATACCGGTCTTGAAAAACTCGGTAATAATAAATATCAGATAATAAATAATAATGATATATATATATATATATATATATATATATAACAATGCATGCAGTTTTTTGCAAACCAATAATTGAACGATATCAGACACAAAGCAATTTCTTTTCAGCTGAGGCTTCTTGTTCCGTTGAATCTTTGAAGCGCGACTTGGCAGTTATGGAAAAAGATTTAGCTGAAGCATCACATAAAGCTGAAAGAGTTTTATCTGAGGTTTGCTTAATTCCGTTTTTGAGAATACAGTAAAATTATTATTATAACGTCAACATAATTCGAAAAATGTATTCTATAAATTAGAAGCGCTTTAGGCATTTTTACGCTCAATACTATTTGAAAAATAATACAATGAGCAAAAATTATTTTTAATGTGTGTAATACTTCATATGAAGTAAAGCAAATAAAAAATAACAATTCAAAATAATTTGCACTGGTAAATATTTATATTTATCATAGGTGACAGAACGAGCAGCTCAGGCTGAAATTGTCAAAAATCAAGTGCAAAAAGTAAAGGAAAAGGCAGAGGCTTTAGTAGCATATATAGCCGAAGAAAAAGCATTAGCTGAAGTTAAATTGGAAGCTGCAAAACCGGCGCTAGAAGAAGCTGAGGCCGCTCTGAACACCATTAAACCTGCTCATATAGGTATGAGATATTTTTCATCTCACCTAAAATATCATTAAAATGCTTTTTTTATACTATTCCTTATCAAATAAAAATTTTTAGCAACTGTTAGAAAACTCGGCAGACCGCCTCATTTGATCATGAGAATTATGGACTGCGTATTGATCTTATTTCAAAGAAAGTTACATAATGTTGTAACTGATTCTGAAGCTTGTTGTCCTAAGCCATCGTGGGCTGAATCTTTAAAGGTTAAAATAACATAATTAAATTACATACATACAAAAATATGCACATACGTATGATTAAACATATATATTAATACATATTATTAGAGTCATAAATAATATAAACATAAACATTTAATTTTCAGATGATGTCCAGCACTACGTTCCTCTTACAATTACAAAATTATCCTAAAGACACAATAAATAATGAAATGGTAGAACATTTACAACCATATTTTGATATGGAGGATTATAATATGGATACTGCCAAACGCGTTTGCGGTAAATAGTTTAATATTTATACCAGAATCAAAGAATGATTTTATATTATCTAATAAGTGATATTTGGTATATGTATTTATATAGCATATCATATTATATATATTTTATAATTATATATTCAAGGTGATGTTGCCGGTTTATTATCTTGGACAAAAGCAATGGCATTCTTTCACAGTGTAAATAAGGAAGTTTTGCCACTTAAGGCAAATTTAACCCTACAAGAAGCTAGATTGAAGGTAAAAGTTCATTTGACTGATTGAATTAATTATCATCTAAATGAGATCAAGCTTTTTATGAGGGTCGTATTACCCGTGTATTTCAAAGCTTCTTAATACTTTGTGATGATGAAATATAAATAAGTGACAAGAAATGTTTGATGCACAATCTTGTTCGTTGAAAACTGATGATTTTTTATTTATAGATTTTTTTGCTCTTCAATTTTAACCATTCACAATAAGTTTTTGAAATATAACATAAATTATTATAACATTTTGTAATTGACTGTTAAACTGTTTATCTTTTTTTTAAACGTTAGAATCATATTAATTTCCAATTTCTACACGATTACAATATTAGTCTAGGCTGTAGTACTACAAAAATAGTTTTTGAATTTTTAAATTAAATAGGTTCAAAATTGTGGGCTAAAATAATGTAGACGAAAAATTTACACAGTTTTCTGCTAATTACAAAGAAATTACTTAGCCGATCGTCGCACAAAACTGACAAACGATAGTTTTTTATCGAGTTACATCAATTGTCTTCGTTTTTGAGGAATTGGTGACGAAAGGTTAGAAATCCGCACGCGTACTTACACACATACTTTTTCGGAAAATCGTATTTTACTTCATATTTAGTTTCATGTTTCATATGACTACCATTTGCATTAGCTAGGTGAATATCAACTAGTGGGGCGCATGGCATCGTGCCTTAAGGCAAATTGCTGGAACTTCCCGTACCAAAAATATTTTTTTTTAAAATGATTAACATTTTTGAAAAAAAATAACTCTGAAAAAATTAGATTTTTGAGAAACTATAAATTTTTGACAAAAGTTTACTTTTTGAAAAAAAAAACTTTTTGAAAAAAAAAATATTTTGAAATATTTTGGAAATTCTGAACTTTTTTCAAAGCAATCGTACTGCTGACAAAATATCGAAGCGCGTAAGCGCCGCGTCGCCGTCTAACGGATGAACATTGGTACGAACCTATAGAAATGTAAACAAAATTTATACTTATTGTTAAAATCTCTATAAAATATCTGATAATTTGATATGCATATGTCTAATGATAATTTTTCACCGCCAAATGGCTTTTTTTTTACTTTTTTTACTAGATCTCCGAAACCGCTAGATCTATTTGATCAGTTCCTCATCTTGTTAATACAAGTAAAATTTTTTGAATTATTCAAATCGGACGCTCCGTTCTCTTAAAAACTGAGATACCGTTTTTGGCACTTTTTGCCCCATATCTTCGGAACGGCTAGACCTGCCTGGCCAAAAACTAATCAGCACGTCTCCTTATCAATACGAATCGAATGTTTTTTGAAGTATTCAAATCGCTTTAACGTGTTCGCACACACACATACACGCACATACACACACACACATACATAGACACACACACACATACATCCATTTTTTCTAAGGTATGCCAAAATGTTCAGAAGGTATTGAAACGTAAAATATATAAACATTTTCATTTTCGATTTTTTTGCGTTACTATAACTTGCCTACGGGAAGTTAATTATTAAGTTTGAAATAAAAATTCAGAAAGCATAATAAACGCTAAATAGAATAAATAATATATTATGAAGTTCCATCATCTCTACTCATTATAGGAACTCGTTTATGTTTATCTAACGCACTTTTCTAACTATAGAATAAATGCGTATGTACGCACAACACTCATTCTATACTCAACAAGAGTAGAAACAGAAGCGGTAGATGTCTCCGTTTGGTATACCTGCGTCACATTACCTGTAATCGCCGCACAAACCTGAAAGCAATTGGCTTGTCTCGGTCGAAACGTCGTTTCAGCAAGATCATACTTCACAGGATCATTTCTGTAGTATGTCTTCACAATCTCTTCACTCAAACGTGGAGTTGATGCGACCTCGACGATGAGTCGTAGCGTCGTACCCTGAGCGTGAGAAAGATGATCGAACTTCATTTGGAGTTTGGTCATCATCGATGACCGTTCGCCAAAATCCCTCGTGGATTTTGGTCATGGGTGTGATGCTTTCTGAGAGGTCCCTTCATATAAAAACAACTTTATCTTTATATTATATTATTATTATCTTGACTGCAATTCCAAAAACGACGGCCAACGTCTTTTGTGTTTTTCTTCTGTTCAAAGAAAGATCTTAAGGGGTATTCTAGTGTAGAGCGATGAATTTTAGGTCATTTTTAAAGTGTCGTAAAAGAAAGCAATGATGTTTTT